AGGCGGATATAAAAAAGTTTGGAGCACCTAAACTTCTTCTACACCACGCTAAAGTTTTTTTTATTAATAATAAACGCATGTTTGGCCATCGACGACACGGTGTGCGTTTATATTAAAACTCAGGGCAAAAGCACTGGAAAACTCACGGTAGTTCACGGTGTCCGTTTATTCTTTTTACACCAAAACAGCTGTGGCCTCTAGCGGCGTAATTGGTAATCACAAACTTAAATGTCACTACAATTACTTTCAAAACAAATACTTCTAATTGCATCCTCCGTCTTCAGTCTTTATATATATGTTACCGGAAATATATGAAATCTAGGAATTGTATACAAATCCTAGGAAATGTATACAATTCCGAAACTATCTAGGAAATGTATAAAATATTGTTTCAAAAACTATTTGTTACATAAATGTCCTAGAAAATGTGTACAATTCCTAGGAATTGTATATAATTCCAATATCGTATTAGGCAATGTATAAAAATAATGCTTTCTGTAATAAAACACGTTGTTAAAGTGAGAATAATATTTTTTATTAAAGCACTCATTGCCCAGAGGGACTTCCGCGTTTGTATAAAAAAAAACCTAACTTAGCCTAAATAATCCGATTCGTTTCTGCCCAGAGGGACTTCCGCGTTTATATAAAAAAACCTAACTTAACCTAAATAGTCCAATTCGTTTCTGCCCAGAGGGACTTCCGCGTTTGTATAAAAAAAACCTAACTTAACCTAAATAATCCGATTCGTTTCTGCCCAGAGGGACTGCGGCACGCGTACGCGTACCCATTGAAATCTCAAATGTTTTACATTTCCGATTGCTATTGCTATTTAGGAAATGTATAGATTTCCTAGGAAATGTGTCTAATATAATTTATTTTACACATTTCCGTGCGATTTTAGGAATTACATACATTTCCTAGGAATTGTATACAATGACGGATTACATACATTTCCAGTAACATATGTATATATAACGATATATAATTTCAATGTTTAATAATTGACTAATTAAATTGTTATAATTGTACGTTATGTCTAAAGCATATTAGTAAAAAGTGATGAAGCTCCGGAAGGAACAACTCGCGGCCTCTAGCAGTAAACATGATAATTATGAAGTTAAAATCTATGTGAATATAGAAGTATGAGAACCTTGTAGTACGATGGCAATATCATCTATTTAAAATTTTACCGCTATTCAAAATTCTGAAATTGACTTGGCAACTTTCCAATATAGCCGTGTTGTTGCTAAATAAATGAGCGTGGATGAAAAACATTTATTTGCCACTGGTCATTGTTGGTTTTTTTTGGTTATCTATGTCGTTTTAACGTATTTTTGTCGTCATTGGATATGTAGTCCCGTGATGCAGGTTTATTTTCATTTAAGCCTTATGTGTTGTGTTGCTAATTTTTTGTTTTCAAATAATATACTAAGGGTCGTATTCCAGAACTCTACTCAATGCTCTGATAGTGTTGTACTAAAGGTAACTTATTCACGATACAGAAATTTTATTAATAAACTACTTAAAAACTTAAAAAAATCTTACTTGAGATCATTGCTAATGAATGCAAAAAACAATGCTAGGTTAACTTGGAATGTAGTCAAAACCATTACGAATATGCAGTCTGCAACGAATCCGTCAGGCTCCCTGTTGAAATTACATCCCAACCCGGTAACTTCAGTGAACATTGTGAACAAGTTTTTTGCTACAATCGGAATTAATTTAGCGAGTAAAATCAAACCATCTTTAACCGCAATTTGTCCATCTCCTGTAGCTCGTTCTTTATCCGCTAAGTCTTTCTCTGTATTGGATGTGGACTGTGAGGAAATCGAAGGATTAATTTTGATGATGCGCAATAATTGCGCGGTCGGTCATGATGGTATTTCCTCGTCAATTTTGAAGTCGACGCGCCATGTTCTCATTCCAGTACTTGTTCATATCTGTAACTTGTCCCTTTCTACCGGAGATTTCCCTAATGTTTTTAAAAAGGCTCTGGTACATCCCATTCACAAATCAGGAGATAATGATGTTGTAAATAATTACAGGCCAATCTCCGTTCTCCCGGCTATGTCGAAGATTCTGGAAAAGGTTCTGAACAACCGATTGATTAACTACTTGGAATCAAAAAATCTACTTTCTTGTAACCAATTCGGCTTTAGACGGGGCAAATCCACTAATGATGCAGTTTCTGCCCTAATAGACGACGTGATTTACCATCTTGACAGAAAGGAAAAGTGTCTCTGTATATTTCTGGATATATCAAAGGCATTTGACACGGTCTCAATCCCTTTACTTTTACTTAAATTAGAAACTATGGGCATCAGGGGTACCCAACTGGATATTTTTTAAAATTATTTAACCAACCGCTCACAAGCAGTAAAAATCGGGAATTATGTTAGTGATGACGAGCAAATTTCAATCGGTGTTCCGCAAGGAAGTATTCTTGGTCCTACCCTCTTCATCGCATATATTAATGACCTATGTCAGCTTCAGCTTCCCAACTGCAGGATCATCACTTACGCTGATGACACTGCCTTATTAATACATGGAAGTACTTGGGTAGAGGTGCGTGAGCTGGCAGAGAATGCTTTTGCTGCGGTAATGAGTTGGCTGTCCTCCAATTTGCTCACTATTAATTTGTCAAAAACCTTTTTTCTTCCTTTCGCGCTCAAACAATCTTCAATACCACCCACTAATGCATTTTTTATAAAGGCCCATACTTGCGTAATCCCAAGTCATAATTGTACTTGTCGTTACATTGCAGCCACCAATCAATACAAATATCTCGGTGTAACTATTGACCAAACTTTTAGTTGGCGCAATCACATAAATTCTTTGACCTCACGGATTCGTAAACTAATCTATGTGTTCAAAAACCTCCGGCAAGTAGTTGATGCTCACACGCTCCACATGACTTATTCTGCCTTATGCGTGTCCTTATTGACCTACTGTCTTACTGCTTGGGGTGGTGCGGCTAAAACGACTATGCTTAAATTGGAAAGAGCTCAGAGGTCGGTCTTAAAAGTGATGTTTAAAAAGCCTTACCGGTATCCAACCTCACTGTTATACTCTGACTCTTCAGTTCTGTCAGTAAGGCAGTTATACATACTACATGTCATCTTGCAGAAGCATACGCTATTAAAATATGACCCAACTTTTTTGCAGAGACGTAGAAGTGCCTACGTATGCCCTCACAGGCAACATAGGACTACCTTGGCTGGAAGGCACTTCTGTGTTCTCAGCCCTCGCTTATATAATATCATCAATAGTAAAATAAACATATATTCTCTTTCCCGTTACGAAGTCAAGAAAAAACTGACAGCTTTGTTACAATGCCACGACTACGATTCCACAGAATCGCTGTTAAAGTAATTTCACTTATCTATAAATAATCAACTAGATTAGATTGTGTAATTTCATTTAAACTTATTTGTTATTCGGCTCTCCTATGTTAAGACCCTATACGCATTCAAAAGCAAAAATTAAGACGCACCTTTCATACAGCTCACATTCACACACTACATGTCCGAATCAGTACCATTCACAACACATTTAATACACACTCTCCACTTTTACATACACACCGCCAACTACACAGCATAGATTAATCTATAAACTTAATTAACCTACTCTTTAAATGTTGTTTCTTTGTTAAATTTCATTTTATTTGCTTCTTAGTCCCAAAAGAACAGTCTTATTGTACTAGTTTTGGGACTACAGAGTTTTATTTAGTTTACTTTTAAGCCATTTGTTTGTTACAACTAAGATTGATGCTTTCCCGCCGTGGTGGCAGCAGTACTATCCGCTAACACAGGTTGAATCCTTTTGTGGGGTCTGGATGTTGCCTGGCTGGTTAGCAACCAATCAATTACTTAAAACATATTACTGTAATTATTTTTATAATATTTGTAATGGCTATAAATAAAGTTATTATTATTATTATTATTATTGCTCAAGTCAGGACTTGAGCAGACGTGAGTATGATTTCAAGCACTGGAAATACGACCCTAATGGCAAGGACTTGAGTATGATTTTCAGTGCTTTAAATCATACTCAAGTCCTGACTTGAGCATTGCGTAGGGTTCTGGAATACGACCCTAAGAGCGGTTACACACGGCGGCATTGCTTCGCTTGCACAGGATCGCATAAAAGCAGTCCATGCCCGCTGTTTGCGAACATCCCTGACGTACTACAGAAGCGGGACAGCCCCACCACACTCAAAACATGTTATTATTTTGAGCCCGGATGGTCCCGCATACCAGCTGCGTTAATATCTCCATGAGTTGCACGCAGTTTAACATTCCATTAGCGTCGGCATATTTTGCTAATTTGCGTTTTTGCAAGTCACATGCAGCTCTTTGGCATCTTGAGTGTGACTTTTCCACAACAAAAATCGATACCGATGAAGTATATACGACAAGTGTATAGGACCTAGGGCCCATTGAAAACCTTCGTCACAACCTAGCCTTGGTTGTGACTTAAGCTGAATGGGATCCTTTTGTACACGCCACAGCCGCACACATGTCAGTATAGTATTATGCAACTTGTTGTTAAAATGTTTTGACACT